GCGTGTGAACGCGCAGGGGAGATGCAGGGAGGCGGCTGCAGGCTGCTACTTCCCGCCGCCTCTCCCTGTGGACGTTCCCATTTCTCCAGCGTCAGTGTTTGAGGACGGAATGTCCAGCTCGAGGCCCCTCTGGGAGCAGGACTCCAACAGGCGCGGCTGTGGCTGGAGACCTTGCCCTTGGCCAGCCCCCCCTCCTCCCAGGCCCGGCGCCCCCTCCTCCTGGGCCTGGCCCCCCACAGCCCGTCTTCCTGTGCCCTGAGGACGGGCACTGATTCACACTCACAGCGGGAAGGACCCTGGTACCACGAGAACTGAGAGCCGGGAATTCTGTCAGGACAAAAGCCAGGCGTGTTGCCATCGATGTTACTAGGTGTGCACGCCTGTTCTCTGAGTAGCCTGGCTGGTGTGTGCTGGGTTCTGGGGCACTCACCCCCACGAGTCCTGTCAGTGGGTCTGCTGGCAACCCCAGCAAGAAGGTGCCCGCACACACAGCGGCACACACAGCAGTTCACGCAGCGGCACATGCAGCGGCACACACAGCGGTTCATGCAGCGGCACACGCAGCGGCACACACAGCGGTTCATGCAGCGGCACACGCAGCGGCACACGCAGTGGCACACACAGGGGCACACACAGCGGTTCACGCAGCAGCACACGCAGGGGCACACACAGCAGTTCATGCAGCGGCACACGCAGGGGCACACGCAGCGGCACACACAGCGGCACACACAGCGGTTCATGCAGCGGCACACACAGGGCCACATGCAGCGGTTCACGCAGCGGCACACGCAGGGGCACACGCAGCGGCACACACAGTGGTTCATGCAGCGGCACATGCAGCGGCACACGCAGTGGCACACACAGGGGCACACACAGCAGTTCATGCAGCGGCACACGCAGGGGCACACGCAGCGGCACACACAGTGGTTCATGCAGCGGCACACGCAGCGGCACACGCAGTGGCACACACAGGGGCACACACAGCTCATGCAGCGGCACACGCAGCGGCACACACAGCGGTTCATGCAGCGGCACACGCAGCGGCACACACAGCGGTTCATGCAGCGGCACACGCAGCGGCACACACAGCGGTTCATGCAGCGGCACACGCAGCGGCACACACAGCGGTTCATGCAGCGGCACACGCAGCGGCACACACAGCGGTTCATGCAGCGGCACACGCAGCGGCACACACAGCGGTTCATGCAGCGGCACACACAGGGCCACATGCAGCGGCACACGCAGTGGCACACGCAGTGGCACGGCAGCGGCACACACAGCAGTTCATGCAGCGGCACATGCAGTGGCACACACAGCGGCACACACAGCGGTTCATGCAGCGGCACACGCAGCGGCACACGCAGGGGCACACACAGCGGTTCATGCAGCGGCACTCGCAGCAGCACACACAGCAGTTCATGCAGCGGCACACGCATGGGCACACACAGCGGCACACACAGCGGTTCATGCAGCGGTTCATGCAGCGGCACTCGCAGCAGCACACACAGCAGTTCATGCAGCGGCACACGCAGGGGCACACACAGCGGCACACACAGCGGCACACACAGCGGTTCATGCAGCGGCACTCGCAGCAGCACACACAGCAGTTCATGCAGCGGCACACGCAGGGGCACACACAGCGGCACACACAGCGGCACACACAGCGGTTCATGCAGCGGCACTCGCAGCAGCACACACAGCAGTTCATGCAGCGGCACACGCAGGGGCACACACAGCGGCACACACAGCGGCACACACAGCGGTTCATGCAGCGGCACTCGCAGCAGCACACACAGCAGTTCATGCAGCGGCACACGCAGGGGCACACACAGCGGCACACACAGCGGCACACACAGCGGTTCATGCAGCGGCACTCGCAGCAGCACACACAGCAGTTCATGCAGCGGCACACGCAGGGGCACACACAGCGGCACACACAGCGGCACACACAGCGGTTCATGCAGCGGCACTCGCACAGGGGCACACGCAGGGGCACACGCAGGGGCACACGCAGCGGTTCACGCAGCAGCACACGCAGGGTCACACGCAGCGGTTCACGCAGTGGCACACGCAGGGGCACACAACACGCAGGCGGGAAAGGCAGCCGCGGGCGTTCAGGGCTGTGTCCAGGACAGACCGCCATTCTGCCATCAGAGGCCCTCTGAACGCCGCACCCTCTTTATTGTTCTTGAATTGCAGTCCTTGGGTTTAACCTTTTAACACTGACATCCACCTGTTCTGTGCCCCTGGCAGGAAGAGAGGTGAGGCTCAGGGCGGCCACACAGCCGTGCAGGTGACCCCGGCCGGGACACAGCGATGGGGCAGGTGCAGCCGTTCAGGAGGGAGCGGCCACGCCATGCCGCTGGGGCTGGGGTTACTTTCATAATCAAAATAGTGAGGACATGTGATCGCTTTTCTCTGCCTGGAAGTTAAAAATCAGAAATGCTCCCTGCAAAATGCTTTCCCTGTAGCCCCAGTGGGGAGTGTTGCTTCCATGAAAAGAATGGATGAGGGCCTGTTGCTAGTCAGGCCAGGCCTCGAGTCAGGCTGGGCTCCCGCCTCACCAAGTTCTCTTCTCGCCAGGACCATCCGGCCTGTGGGGGAGCGAGTGATAATGTTCCATGTAAGCACATTGCAAATCTGGTGCAGTAACATAGGCTGTACCTACATACACATGTCTATGCCATCTATTCCCCTATTGGATTTAGATATTTCATCACAGGATACTTATTTTTCTAAGTGATGGGGGTAGGAACCTACCTGTTTTCTCTCAGATGGTTCAGTTGTTCAGATAAATAAACTGGACCACAGTTGTGTGTCTCCTTTGCTGCATGTGACTTCGTTAGTCTGGCCTCTGTTCTTGCTCCTGACATTTTTCCGCTCCCGTCCCAGATGCTGCACGTCTGCAGCGTCACACAGCATCTCAGAGCCAGTGGGGAGCTCCTCTCTGTTCTTTTTATTGATTGCAGAGGGGAAGGGAGCGGGGAGAGAGATGAAGCATCAATGATGAGAGGGAATCATCTCACGTCCCCTCCTGGGGATGGAGCCCGCAACTGGGGCCTGTATCCTGATCGGGAATCGAACTGTCCTCCTGGCTCATAGGTCGACACTCAACCACTGAGCCACGCCGGCCAGTTACTCCTTTTCTTATTATTTTTCACAACATCTTGACTATTCTGGACTATTTAATCTCTAGCTAAACTTTTAAATCACTTTGATACCATTGGACATAGTAAGTTTTCTGTTTCAGTAATATAGTATATATCACTGTTAATCCAAGATTTCTACAATGTTACTTGAAAAAATTGTAGAATTTATTCCTAGATGTTTATAACGGAGCTAGCTGGTGAGTGAGATGTTGGTGGCAACTCATTTTGTTACCTGGGTAGGGCTATCACATGGGGGCTTTGTTATTGCAGCATCTCGGAGGCTGTTTCCCGATGCGATTTCCCACAGGCAGCACCTGTCCTGGGGGGGCAGCGCCTGCCCGGCCCCATGCGGCCTGGGGGTGCAGTGCCCAGCCTGGGGCATGGGGCTTCCTTCCTGCTGGGGGAGTGAGTATATGTGGAAAGACTCCTGGCCAGGCAGTTGGATAACATCCACTTTAAAGCAAAGTAGCCGCTAATTGAAAATAAATTAGGACGTTGGCATTGCATCCCCACAGGGGCGGCGCTCACGCGAGGTTCTGAGAAAACGGTTTCCCGGGGTCCCGAGAGGCGCTGGCGGAGCTGTCCCTGTGGCTCGCACCCGGCGAGGTGGGTCTTATGAACCCAGGTGACACCAACGCGAGTGGTACACGCGGTGTCTCCTCCCTGTGGGGGCGCGGGAGTGAGGCGTCCAGCTCATCCGTGGGGGGTGGTAACCATGCTCCTTGTCGCCACAGTAAGTAGCCGTGAAGGCTTCGAAGGCTCACATTGTTCTTTGCTGTGTGAGGCCATTTCATCTCATAAACCCTGTGAGATGGGGAGGTGCTGGGCGGCCCTCCCTTCAGTGAGGACACTGAGGTCACCGAGGTCATGTGCGACGCAGTAGGTCAGGGCCCGGCCGGTCCCCGAGGCTGTCCACTGTGCATGTGCCCCAAGCCCAGGGCCTCCTCCTGTGAGGGGACAGCCCGCCCGCCACGCCTCTGGGGCCTCCCCTGCTGGGCGTGGGCATGGCTGGCACCTCACATGCCTGAGGCTGCGACCCCAGGCCCGGGCAGAAGTCACCCGTCCTCTCAGCGCGCCTGCCCACGCCAGCCGAGGACTGTCCGGTGTCAGAACCAATCACGACAAATGTCTGAAAGGGGGTTTGGTGTGAGCAACCAAAGCTCCTGCTCCCTGCTCTGTCGCTGTGACTACTGGATGCTCATAAAAATGTGCCCTTTTTTGTGAGTTTTAGGAAACTTTCCATAACAATCATATTTTTAATTGTGAGAACTCCTTGGATATTGTTTTCTTTCCCAAACACCCTTTTCTGCTGGTGAGGACAGGACCTGGGGCGGAGAAGGGACATCATTGGGGATATTAATGGACTAACTGAACCTAAAACAGTCTGGGGTTTGTTGTTGTTTTGATTTTTAAAGAATTCCATTGGATGTCCTATGATGTCAGGCCCAAAGAAATCAATATTTTTCTTCTAAATTCTTAAAATCAAAACCTCCTGAGGAGAAAAGTTCAGTCTTTTCCTGTATGTGTTTATTCATTTAGTTATGTACTGAGTACTTCAGACTTTTTTGAGATCTTGTTCTAAAATCCCCATCCCCTCTCTTCTTTTCCACTCTTATCCTGACCAAACCTTGTCACATGACTACTTTTTCCCAAATTCATCATCAGGTCCATATCCAACCCATGCAGTCTAAGCCACTCCACACGGCAAGGCCCTGGGGTCAGGCCCAAGGAGTGCGTTCCTAGTTGAGGAATGACAGTGAGGAGGAGGACGGTGAGGAGGAGGATGGTGAGGAGGAGGAGGATGGCGAGGAGAAGGAGGATGGCGAGGAGGAGGATGGTGAGGAGGAGGAGGATGGCGAGGAGAAGGAGGATGGCGAGGAGGAGGATGGTGAGGAGGAGGAGGATGGCGAGGAGAAGGAGGATGGCGAGGAGGAGGATGGTGAGGAGGAGGAGGATGGCGAGGAGAAGGAGGATGGCGAGGAGGAGGATGGTGAGGAGGAGGAGGATGGCGAGGAGGAGGAGGATGGGGAGGAGGAGGATGATGATGAGGAGGAGGATGGCGAGGAGGAGGACGGTGAGGAGGAGGAGGATGAGGAGGAGGATGGTGAGGAGGAGGAGGATGGTGAGGAGGAGGAGGATGGTGAGGAGGAGGATGATGATGAGCAGGAGGATGGCGAGGAGGAGGACGGTGAGGAGGAGGAGGATGACAAGGATGGGGCCTCCTCGTGGGGTTAACGAGGCTCTGATAAACTGTACTTGGAATATAGAGAACGTCTGACCTAAAAATCAGCGATCAAAGTGAAGTGAGAAAATGCTTTTTCTGTGAAATCCCCGAAGTCCTCGTTAGACAAGGAGAAGCACCAGGTCCCACACCCACTTGTCCCTTTTCTCGGACCAAGTGCCAGGGTTTAACGCAGCACCTTGCGCGTCCAAACTGTGGCTGGATGGGACCTGGGATGGGACGATGTCACGTGAAAATGTTTCTGAGTCTCCCATCAAAGCCACTCTCTGAGCTCTCACAGCGCCAGGGTCAGGACACGTCCCGCAGCCTGGAAGGCCTTCCTGACCAGCTTCCACATGCACCTTGGAGTTCAGCACAGGCAGGACTGCCCTCTTCCCTTTAATTGTCAAATAAAAAACGACAGCAGCTGCCCAGCCAGCATGGCTCAGAGGGTGAGCGTCGACCTATGAACCAGATCTTGGTTCGATTCCCGGTCAGGGCACAGGCCCGGGTCATGGGCTCGATCCCCAGGTGTGGCATGTAGGAGGCAGCTGGTCAATGATTCTCTCTCATCATTGATGTTTCTCTCTCTCCCTCTCTCTTCCTCTCTGAAATCAATAAAAATGTGTTTTTAAAAATTACAGCAGCCAATAGAACAATAGCCATCTGGTGTGAATGAATCAAAATTATACCTTTTTTTTTTTTTTTGGTCAGAATGGTGAAAACTATGATGTCTTTTTGGTGTCACACAATTTCAGTAACTAGTCTGTGCGCCGTGAGATGGAGAGGTTGACCGTCTGCCCCATGTGAGGAGCTGCCCACATGGAACGCGGTCCAGCCCTCTGTGCCATGTTCACGTCTGTGTCCTTTTCCCACGGATTTCTGAGTTGCTGTGTATTTGGTTACAGAGTAAGATCTTATCATGAATCAGAACCGCATATTCCCTCGTCCCCAGCGGAATCCGGTTCCCTAGGGTCACTGTTGCCTGGTGACTCAGCTAGGAACTGGCCCGTGCTGGATGTGTGAGATGCTGGAAATGCAAATGCTTCATTCGGCTTTAATTCTGATGGGAACATGCACCCCTGTATCTCTCCACCAGTAAAACATGGCAAAGAGACAATCAGCACAGAGTTACGAAGCAAATAAAGAAAATAGGAAAGAAAAACATGTGCAAAACAGCCATTTCTGAACCAGAGTGGCATTTGCTGCATAGAGGGATATTCATTGTCAAGGTCCAGCACTGACAACGGGAGGGGCTTAGCTCAGAGCCGGTAGGTTCCGCCAGGCGCGCCGCTGCGGAGCAAAGGCAACGCGGCTCCCCTGCGTGTCTTCTTCCAAAGGTTTTTTTCTAATCTTCACCTGAGGGTTTTTCCACTGATTTTCAGAGAGAGTGGGAGGGCAGGGGAGAGGGTGAGATAGACACATCGATTGGTTGCCCCTGGAACACACCCTGACAGTGCCTGGGGAGCAAAACTGCAACCGAGGTACGTACCCTTGACCAGGAATCAAACCCAGACCCTTCAGTCCGTGGGCAGACACTCTATCCGCTGAGCCAAGCTGGCAAGGGCCACAGTTTGTCTTAGTATATACACGCGTCCACCTCAAAGCGTCCTAGTGCGTTCCTTTTCCTTACTGCAGCCAGAGTTAGAACCCAAGTGCATTGCTCAGAATCTGGGCTCTACCTGAAAACCTACTGCTTGGTTCCTGTAGGTGGTCTTGTTGTGTCTTCATTGTCCCATCTTGATTGAATGTGCCTCCACTCAGCTGTAGCAT